TGATGCTCCATTCAGTTGTTTCCTGTTTTGGCAGTAAGTACATGGCTACAAAACAGCAGAAGTTGAGTGTTCCTGCCAGCAGCTCTGAACTTCTTCTGTTATGGGTCATAAATTTCAAGGACAAACTGTATTTTGAACTTACTGATATTTGAGAAGTCTCATGTAATTCTTTAACCTGATACTAGAGTTTCCCTGGCTCTGCTGCAACCCTCAGAAAAATCAGAATTGAGAAATCAGTTTTCACTCGTTGCAGGTGACGTTGGAGCAATACAAGAATCTGAGCAGCTGAGCTGTGCAGGACTGCAGAGCTTTATTCAGCATTGTCTTCCTTCTGGTAACATGCAAAATAAATGTGCTGTTAAAATTTGGAAATGACACAAGTCTGTGTCTCTCCCCCTTCTGGAAGTACATGCCCAGGGTGTAAGTAGGTTCAGGTGCAGGTGTTTAATTGAGCATTTGCAGCGTTCAGTTATCTCCCACCATAAAGTGGGTACAATAAAGTACTGCAGGGTTTACTTTCAAAAGTCTCTCCAGTTGGGCATGTTGAAACTAGTCAGTGGTGAGAGACAGTCTGCTAGCTGGGATAGATGTGGGCCTAGGAGAAATGAATCCACTGTGCCACGTGTGGATATGATTTAGTATCGCAGTCATGCCCAGTTTACATTCTCCTGGGGGGTTATTTCCGTGCTTCCAACCAGCTGACTGGTGTCACAAACTCTGCATAGCCACATTGCTGCAGCCTGTTCAGGTTGCCCCTGGAGTGCTGAATTAGCAAGGGGCTTTCTAGGAAAACGATGGTGCAAGTGTGGCTTGTTTGTTTATTTAATTATTTACTCGAACCTGGTGTAATGGTGCTGTTGAACTTTAAACAAGCCTGTCCCTTCCTCTCTCTGTGCTGTTTGACTTCAGGAAGAAGCTTGGCATGCCAGGCAACTGGTTTCTTATTTTTCAGGGAGATTAATAAACAAAAAAATGTATTTTACTTGAGAGCAAAACTAGGAGACTAAATAAAATGCTTCCAAGGAGTATTAAAATCCACATTTATTTCACTTACGTGGCTAAAATTCTGCAGCTGCTTAAGATTAATGTTGGGTGATGCAGCTGTCTGTTCATTTATCTGATCTTCAGATTATCTTCTTCTTACCTACAGGTTACATCCTCATTTCTTGTTCTTGCCCAAATATCCTGATGTAAAGCTTAATGTAGGATAAGAAATCAAATCTTCCTTGTCAAAGCAGGTTACATGAGCAGTTGATCTTTGTGTGCTTTATATCTTAGCAAGGCTCCCTTGTTGGGGACTCAGTTCACTGCTTTTCAGGGACTCAGTTTGCTCCTTTACATGCTGAATCTGAAGACCTGTTCCCATCTGCAGGTGTTTATGGTGGATCCCTTGGTACTACTTGTTTTTTCTTGTGGTCTTCTCGGCAGGTCTTTGCCACCTCATTGAATCGTTGAGGTATTTCCATTCTGAAATCAGTCAGTAGTGACACCTCAGCAAAGAGCACCTTTCACTTGATTTTATTGTAACTTGTTTTTACTCCTCCACCTTTTACAGAAGCCTCATCATTTTTTTTACAGAAGCCTCATCATTTTTTTTCAGCGCCAACTTTAAGAGGAAACCTTTTTTTTTTTAAGCTTTTAAGCTAAAATTACTTTTTTATTTAAGTCTTTTTGTACTTGTGAATTGCTTTCCTTAGTGTGACTGCCTCAAGTAGATGGATTGGGTGCACTTCTGTGGCCTCTGATAAGATCTTGGCAATTGCTGCTTCCTGAAGGAACAGAACTGTTAAAATGACAATATATTGTTATCTCTTAGTCTGAGCTGCTCCAGAGTTTATGGTGCAATTAAATAGTGTGATCAAATTGAGCCCTGCTGCAAGGCTCCCAGGGAGTCTTACTGATGAAGCTGAAGGCCTTGAGACTGCACCTTTAGTTCCTCTTCTGGAAATACTGATATGCAGATCCACACAACCTTGCAGTGTGTGAGTGGCTGCCCTTGCATTCCGGGTCCTTTCTGTGCTGCAGGACTTGTGATGTGATGGGCCAAGTGGAACCCATTGGTGCAACTGGGAGCAACCTTCTGGATATCGCTGAAGGACTTCTTATTCCAGTCACTGTTGCAAATTAACAGCTACAGGAACTTCCCATTTGAAGAACCAGGCTGCAGCAGACTTCCTCTTTCACCCCTGAAGTGTTTGGGGCACTTGCACGGGGTACAGGACCTAAAGCCAGGAGATGAGTGGTGTGGAGTGACTCACGCTCCAAACCCGAAGCATTTGACTTGGGAAAACTGTGACTTCAGTTCTAGCCCTTCCTCTTTAAAGTTTTATGTTTCATGACCTTTTAAATGAAATGTCGAGCTTCCTTTTTAACAGACAGGATCTCTGCAGTGTGACTTGGTGTGATTCAGGATTCGTAACTTTATCAATTCCTGCCTTCATCCACTGCCTTCAGTTCTTATGGCATCGCTGGCTCCAAGTTCCTCAGAGTATAATAATTCCTCATAGTATAATAATTTCTCATAGCATAATAGTTCCTCATAGCATAGTAATTCCTCATACCATAATAATTCCATGCTGTGTATGACTCTGCTTCCTCCAGCACAGAAATCCTGGGGTGCTGTTAGGGACATATTCTGAGCCTGCCTCAACCCCAGTGAGTAGCAGTAGTTATGTGACTCCAGCAGTACCCAGGACCAGAAGTTTTTGGCAAGAAAGCCTTTAACATGGCCACAGGACATTGTAGTAACTTGCACGAGGTTGTTTCTCCCCAGTAATTTTCTCTGTTGAAGGCCATCTGATTTTCACTGAAGTCAGCTCTGGATCCTGGAAGTGATCTGGGATGATAAATTCTTTTGATCGCTTCAGATGTTCTAGCAACTGCTGTAGCCAAAAAAAAAAAAGGAAAAAAAACCAACAACCAAAACCCCCAACCACTTTTATCCCATGTTGCTGAGCAGAGTATGCCCCATGCTTTCAGCATGGATTTGAGCACTGAGCTCCAGGAATACATGCCCTCCAGGATATTCTGTTTTACCGTGTTCATTACACTCAGAAATGAAGTGCTCTGTGCTGGTTGGATTTTCACAGAAGGCAGCAGCTTGCCTGTTGCCATATCTGGGTCTCTCATTTTATTCCCATCCCACCCCCACCTCGTGTTTTTTCCTGTTTGTTGAAGCATGCTCCAGAAATATATTGCCCTTTTTAAATTGTCTCTTGAAAGCACGAGTAACTTCTTTCTTTTCATTTTCTCCGTGCCTGTGGGAGTTATGCATCTCCTAGAACTCCCTTATTCTTTCAAGACCTTTAGGCATTGTTGCATCTTGAAAAAGATCTAATATTTACTGGTGAGGTAACAGCCAGCTCTCTATTCCCTGGACAATAAATTACAGCATCAATTCCTTAAATACTTTGATGTAGATGTTTGAATCTGTGGAACTCTCAGAGACTGGCAGGGGATTCTATGTGCACATACATGTGTATGCCTAAATAAAATGTTTTTATATTAGAATGTCTTTTTATAATTCCATTTCGGTAAGGAAACATTTGTTCCTTTTCTGTTTTTTAAAAGAGGGGACAGTTCTTTTTAAATTTGTTAATGCTGTGAAAGGAAACAGTGTACATCAGGGCTGCTGCTAATTTAGCCCAGTATTTACAGAAAAATGCCTAAGGGATTTTGGTTTGGTTTGCATTTTGCTGATTTTATAATATGAATCCTAAGTGGTGGGGTAGTTGTGTTGGTTTGGTGTTGGGTTGTTTTTTTTTTAACACTTAAAAAAATAACGCGTGTAGGCTCTGTGGGAAATGTGGTCAGAGATCTAGAAAACCATTTTTCCTATTTCCCTGGTCTTGTCTCTTGTTAATCCTGTACAGTCATTACAGAAGAATAAGCCCCTGTAAAATACAAAGTCACCAACCTGGTGTCAGAGACACATTTATGAAAACACCTATTTTAGCTGCCTCATGTTTGAGATATTAGACTGTGGCAGTGCAGATCATATTCTCCAGACTGCATTCCTCACAAGCAGAAATACTGGCAGCCATGTGTTAAGTTATAAAAAGCTGGCAGCTGATGTCAGGGCTTATTTCAGTGAGGAGCTGTTTTGGAATACTGTACTAATTTTGGGTAGGTTTATGTAAATTAGAACTCCTCTCAACATGGAGCATTCAGTGTAAATTGATACATAACCTGAGTAATGCAGCAGAATAGATAAGCAGGTAATGTGCTCCAGCAGATAACCCATTTTAAAATAATCTTTGGCATTGTACATGATTCTTTAGGCAGAACTGCATGTACACAGTGTTTATTTACAATGTGAAGTTCTGTTTCAACAAATTGGGATTAACGTCCAAGGATGGCAGAATTCTTTTTAACTTCTGAAATTGTCTCAGATAGCTGAGCTATCATATGCATCTGAAAAACCCCAACTGAAAGAATCCCAGTTCTGTGGTTGAGATGATAGGTGTGTTTTAGCTGACCATGTGAGTTGGATACAAATAACTTTGGCCATTTGCAGCTTTGTGACATCTTACTAAAAACCCCCAGGTAAAGATGTAAGTGATCTTAGACAAATCACCATCCTGTGTTTGATGCCAAGGGGGGCAGACAAGATTTTTTTTTTTAATCACAGTGAATGTTTTCGTTGCTGCTGAGTCAGAAGCACAGTTGATATTTTGACTGAGGCTGCAAACAAGTGCTTAAAGCAGTTTATGTGAAAGTGCTTTGGGACACGGACCCTGCTCCATCAGGAGCGTAAAGGCATAATGTCTGTTAAATGTTCTCCTTCATTATTATGCAAACTAATAGTATTTTAATACAGAAATAATGTTACTGTTGTATTCTGATACATTTAAACTCGATTCTTAATTTGAAGCCCGAAGTGTTTTCTGGCCAGAACTCCCACACATGAAGATGTGAAGTCACACGGGTATTTGTCTTAAAATAGCTGGTGGTATGAAATTTGATGGATTCAGATCTAACACTTTATTTTTTTGTTTCAGGACATCAGGCATGAAGCCAGTGATTTTCCATGTAAAGTGGCCAAACATCCCAGAAACAAAAATAGAAATAGGTACAGAGATGTCAGCCCCTGTAAGTACACTTTCATTTCCATTGTTTGTAACAGACTGTTGACCTCTAATGACTTCTAACACTTAAATGTTCTTTTTAAGGACAAGATTCTGTTAGGTGGATAAGCATCCAAGACAATTCTCTGTGTTAATGTATTTATTTGTGAGATAGATGTCACAGGATGCCATTATATCCATAGGATTATACTAGAGCAACATACTGTAGAGTCTGTATTTATGGGCAGAAAGCTGACAAAAGAAACTTGCTTTTGAATTCTGCTAGAGAGGAAGGGTGGCTGAAGCAGCACTGCTGCAGTTGCAGGGGTGGTTTGTGCTGCAGTGTGTTCACTCCCCAGGGCATCCTGCTGGTCAGCACAGGTGGCAGCAGTGCCCCTTGTGGGAGGTGGGCAGCATAAAACATGACTGCTAGAGAGAAATCTGAGCTAATTGGAACAGAGGAGGGGACATTGGCAAAGGAGATGCTACAAGGATGAGACCTGTATTTTTGAAATGATTATGGTCTCATGTTCCAGTGGGAAGTGCATCTTTGAGCAAGTGTGGCCTGGACAAGGCACGGCTCAGTTGGGGGTTGCAGCCTGTTTTTCCTTCCATGGCCCCAGGAACAGAGGCAGTACCACCCAGCCTTGCCCAGGCCTGGCATCCTGGGAGCTTGGGCTGCTGCAGCAGCAGTGTTAGACTGGCCTTGTCATGGGGCAAATCTCCATCCTCTGTCCTTGGCCACAGTGTTCCTGTGTGGCAGAGAACTTCTGTACTTGGTGCTTAAAAGTTCCTGAAGCCTTTGGGGCAGTTGACCAGAACAGTAATGTTCACACTGTTTGTTTTACTAAGCAATTCTAATATCTGGGGTTGTGAGTAAGAAATGGTTCCCTTTTTGCCTTTAGATAAAACTGCTTCCAGCCTGGCTTTCTTGCAAAATGTGGGAATCCTTGAGCAAGCTGGGTTTGAATGTTTAAGCTGCAAGAGATAAGCAGTTGTGTAATTCTATTTATTTAAAACCAGTAACTCGGTAACTGTACAAATAGGTCAGTGTGGTCTGGTTTGCAGATTACTGTGGGGATTATTTCAGATGCAAATGCTTCATTCTTGTAGTGTGTTCTTGGAAGGTGAGGAGCAGCCTGTGTTCACTCCTCTGCTGTGGTGCTGTTCTTGCAGTACCTACATTGTATTTCCAGAGTTACAAGCCCAGGGAACACCTGAACTACCTGGGGTTATTAAGCCCTTTTCAGCTTTTTTGACCCTGACACCTTATGGGCTTGTGCATGGATTCTGCTGTGTTGCATATACATATTTAACCAGTGTTTTCTAATTATGCTGCAGTTGATCACAGTCGAATTAAGCTAAACCAAGGTGACAATGACTATATCAATGCTAGTTTGATAAAAATGGAAGAGGCCCAAAGGAGCTACATTCTCACACAGGTAATTGCTGGCAGTGGTTAATAAAAATCATGTGGTGGTTGGAGTTTTTTCATGGGTTTTGTTTATTTTCTTTATTGTAAAGCCAGTTAAGTGCATATACACATCTGTGTGTGCATAAACATATGCAGAGAATGTGAGAGAGGAAAGCCATGAAATACAGACTTTAGTGATGGGAATGTGGGGGGCAGGAGGGCAGTGACTGCTTTTCCCTGAATCTGTGAATTCCACCCCTATCTATACAAAAAAATTAAAAATACCCGGATACCCTGTTGTTTTATTCTGAGAGCCAGCAACTGTGCCAGGATTCTTGTTTGTCCTAAATATTCCATGGAGACTGTTCTGATCTCTGATCTTGACTTTTTTTTTTTTATCCCTTCCTCCCACACTTTAGATTAAGGTAGACTGGGATTAATATTTTTCAAGTGACAGCTCTTCCTTCCTGTTTGTAGAGAGTAAAGATAAATCTCCTAAAGAAGAAATGGACAGTACAGATCCAGTGTGGAAATGGTTCTTTGCACACAGCTCTTATTGCCCTGATCAGGACAGGGGAGGCTGATCACAGGGTTGAACTGGGATGTGGGATAGTTGAATGTGCAGCTGACTGGTACAGGTTCTCTATTCTGATCCAGAATTTGTTGGCTTTGAATGGCTTTATTTAAATCTGGCCATTCCTTCTGAGGACCCTGCCTTGCTGTTCTGTTTGAGTAGAGGGATGGACAGCAAATACAGGGCACAATAACGCTGGTTTGTGCTGCCCAAAATTCAGAACAGGAGCTTTGGAGTGGAAAATAGCGAAGAAGCACAAGACAAACAGGAAGTTAGAGGGAAATCTGCTTTGTGAAATAGATAGTAGTCTTTAAAAGGAGTTATCACTTCATTCAGTCCCAGAGCAGATCCATGAAGATTCTGGAAAACCCTGTAATTTGTTGCTGATCTGGCATCATTTCAGTGTTTTGAGTGTTTATCCATTTAGTCAGGTAATTTTCAAGTATCCTGAATAAGGCTGATGTATTGCAGAGTAGTTAATTCTGCTCTTAGTTAGACAGAGGGGTTTTATTTCCCCATGACCTTTGTATACCTTTCCTAAGAAAATGGGGTATTTTTCACTCCCAGTTCTGTTCTCGCAAATGAGACTCAATCTCTCTTCCTCTTATGTGTGGGGGGGAAAAGATGAACCATGCTTTCATGGGAAAATTCATAACATGGAACTTAGAGCTGTCTCACTGCATTTTTTTACAGTTTTAAATGAGAAGTTGCTTGTTACTTGTCTAAATCTATTGCCCAGCACAGTAACTGTAACTGGGGAACAGTGCACTGACAATCAAAGAAAATAATGCTTATTTCTGGGGATTCTGTCTCTGCAGGGACCTTTGCCAAATACTTGTGGTCACTTTTGGGAGATGGTTTGGGAACAGAAAAGCCGTGGTGTTGTCATGTTGAACAGAGTGATGGAAAAGGGATCCGTAAGTACTTACCCAGGTCTAGCTCTGTGCTCAGCACATCTTTAAGGTTTTTGTTTAATGAAAAACCCAACTAAAACCAACCCAGAGAACAGGGCCAGGTGACTGTTCAGTAATTTTATCTAAGAAATTATGCCTAGAATTGAATACTTGGGCGAATTGGGGTTATTTTAAATAATTTACCACCAGATAAGTAGAAAGTTTGGGTTCCTCTGGCACGTGGAGAAGCTGCTGCCTTGAGAGGAAATGCCTTGGCCTTTGTGATGGTGGAGAAGATGGAACCATCAGGCTTGGATTTCCTCCCTGGCTCAGAGCTCTGCCTCAGTGCTGGTTCCACAGCTGTCATCCCTAAAGAGGCCTGTCAGCTCTGCAAATCTGGGACAAAAGCAGCTTTAAAGAGTGATAGAAATGCCCAGTTAAAAGTTGAATGCTGCAGTGTAGTCAGTATAAAGACCTTTGGAGGAGGGGTAGTGAGGATGTTGGGTATCCACCAGTGATAACTGGGTGGTACATGCTTTTGCATCATTGGGAAAAAACTCCTAATAATCAGGAAAATTCTTGTGTTGTGTTTCAATAAACTGCTGTCTTAATTTTTAAGTGTTTTGCTGGTTTTTGTAGTGCAGGTGACATTTAATCCTCAGAAGAGATGCAGTAACCGTATTTTTCAATATTTTCTTCCTTTCCAAGCATTCCTGTTCTTTCTCAGCACATTCTCAGTTTTGAACAAAATGAGTGCCTGTGATCCCTTAGGCTGCTTGCACTGCTCAGCAAACAGCACTGGGAGCCTCACAGTGGACAACAAAATACTGTTTGCAGACACATTTGTGGAGAAATCAGACCCAAAGCCAATTGGTGTGTCTTTATTGCAAAACCAAACAAAAGTGCAGAGAATTATAAGTGCATTCTACACCCCAATAAACACAGTGCTACCCTTCTTTTTGCTTGGCTCACTTAAGGCCCTGGCATGCAGCAGTCTTTGCAAAACTAATCTTTCTGGAAGACTTTTGATAAGAAAATTGAAATTCAGTCAGAAGTAGGTAATGGGAATGTTTGCTGAACACAGGGGTTTTTTGTTTGGCACTTCACCTTTAAACTGTGCCATGTAAAATCAAAATGATCTCACTGCTATTTTTATTTCTGTGGTGTGTAGATGGAGTAACCCAAAATTTCATCTGATGTTACCCTTGAAATTAGCAATGTGATCATTTCCTATATGTAGCTTATTCATAGAATTCATAATACTTTTCACAGTGTATTCTGCTCTTGTTAATATCTGTCTCTTCTTTTGAAGCTTAAGTCTTTGATGTGACAGTAATAAAATGCAGAGTAGGCTTAAAATTCAGATTTTGGCAGGCTGTTATGAGAGCTTTTGTACTTAGTTATTAGATTTTTGTTTGTTTGTTTGACACAATATAAAATAAATAACGACTTTGGAGATTTTTATCAGATTTCACAGCTTCACACTCTTTCAGCTTTCAGGTACCTACCCTCAGTCCTTAGGTGTTTTCATGAGTTTAGTCAAGGTCAAAATAATTTGACTCATACAAAAGTGGAGATGTGGTTCTGCAACATAAAGGAAGACTGATAGTCTTCACACTGTAATTTCTGGTCCTTATAATAGAAGCAGATGAAGAAATTGTCTCGTAAGAAAAGGTTGTATTTAAGGATGTTTCTTCCTTACCTTTTACTCAGACATAAATGACATTTGTGTGTTTGTTTTTAGATAAAGTGTGCACAGTACTGGCCACGGAAGGAGGAGAAAGAAATGTTTTTTGAAGACACAAACTTGAAACTCACGTTGATATCTGAAGATATAAAATCCTATTACACAGTACGACAGCTGGAGTTGGAAAACCCGACCGTAAGTACAGGATCTCATCCAGTCCCATCCCTGGCCCTCTCCCAGGGGGAGACTGACCTCCTGAGAGCAGCAGGGACTTGGAAAAGATGGTCAGGAATTGCACTGAATTTGGTGATTCTGCATGAGATTATTCCTCAGTCTCAGTCTGTGTGCTGTGGACAGGAAACTCTCAGATATTTATTTAACATACATGAGGAAACTCGAGGCTTTTCTGTGTCTCAGCTGTACACTGAGCAATAGAAGCTTTTGAGCTGTACTGAAAACCATCTTGTAAAGAAGTGCATTTACTTTTCCAATTTCCTGTGCCCCAAATAAGAGACCTTCACAACAAGAGCTAATTATTTGTAGTTTCTTGGCTGTGCAGCTTCAAAAGCTCCCTCAGCCTGGTGGGACTTTCAGTCAGCAGTTCCCAACACTCCTGACTCGTGTATCTGCTCTAAAAAGCTTCCCAAATGCTGTTTTTCCAGACCCAGGAAACTCGGGAGATTCTGCACTTTCACTATACCACGTGGCCTGACTTTGGTGTCCCCGAGTCCCCGGCCTCGTTCCTCAATTTCCTCTTCAAGGTGCGGGAGTCGGGCTCGCTGAGCCCCGAGCACGGCCCCGTCGTGGTTCACTGCAGCGCCGGCATCGGCAGGTCCGGCACCTTCTGCCTGGTGGACACCTGTCTGCTCCTGGTGAGGCTTCCTTCTCGTGGGCTGGTTCTGCAGAGGTATTTTTGGGAGTGGTTTGAGCCTTACAAGAGCTGTGGCAGGGCCTGGGAAGTGTCGTTGCCGTGATTTCCGTTATTTCACTCGTGCTGTTTTGGGAGTGTTTTCCAAGGCAGGTCTCATTGCTGAGTGGCCATTTGGGGTCTGGGGAAGACAACTCTCTAGTTTTCAGAGTGATTCACAAAGACAGGCTTTGCCTTCATGGTTAAGAGAAAACCACACTAACCAGACTTAGATGTCTGTCCTGAAACAATGCAAAGCCCATCTGATGAGTTTGCTTTTACAGAGTCACCTGCACCTGTTGTGGGCAGGAGGAAATTGTCCTGACTTCAACATAAGACTGGAATTCTCTTGGCTTTATTCTCTCACTGCGTGAGACCTACAGAAAGCCAAGTCAGGCCTAGGCTAAAATGTCACTAAAAAGAAAAAAGGGGGAAAGGGACAACATTTTGGAGTCCCGTTGGTTTCCCCTCAGTCTTTTTGGAAGCCCAGTAAAAAGCTGCTCATACCAGTTTGATGTGAGTTCATTAACTGTGTAATGGGAAGGGCAGTGTGAAGGCCCTGCCACAAGATGAGTCCTTGTAGTGAACATCACCAGAACATTAAAGCACGTGTCATATTTTTCAGATGGACAAACGGAAAGATCCTTCCTCTGTGGATGTCAAGCAGGTTCTCCTGGAAATGAGGAAGTACAGGATGGGACTCATCCAGACCGCAGACCAGCTCCGCTTCTCCTACTTGGCTGTTATTGAAGGGGCAAAATTCATCATGGGAGATGCTTCAGTGCAAGTGAGTGCTGTGGGCAGCTCAGCCAAAGGAGGAGCTGCAGCTCCATGGGAACTGTAGCAAGTGTGTGGGATGGGGAGGAGAAAAAGAAGCTTCAAGCTTGGTGCTTGTTTCAGCTCCAATACATTTTTATATTATGGGGTTCTTCAACACAGTGCTTTACAATCTGTCACAACCTGAAGTGTTGTATTTAAGAACCTTCCAGAGAGTACCTGTGAGTTAACAGGTGCCTTGTGTGCTTTCCAGCACAGTGACCAGGGTGTAGCTGCTGGCATTTTAGATAATAAAAGTTTTCTAATATAGCAGAAGTCTAAAGTATTATGATTAAATTCATCAGGTTTTTTGTGATAAGCAAAACTCCAGCGAAACAGATCCTATTTTGTGCTATTTAAGTTTTCGAGAAGTAGACTGGAATCTCTTGCATTTGTATCTGATGTGTTCTGTGTGTAGTGGATGTAGCTTGGGTTTGGAGTTCTTGTGTCTGGTTTCTCTTTTTTTTCCCTCGATGCAAATGAAGAGCCACTTTAAGAATTCATTAAAAGGGAGAGTATAAAGATTCTGCCATGGTAAAGTTCAGAGTAGCTTACAGAGAGGAGAGAAGAGCTTACCAGGGCTTGTCCTTCCCTGAAGGAGCAGTGGAAAGAGCTGTCCAACGAGGACCTGGACCCCCCACCTGAGCACACCCCCCCACCTCCCCGGCCACCCAAGCGAACCTCGGAGATGCACAACGGGAGGATGCACGAACACACGGAGTCCTTTCCCAAAGCCCCAGGAGCAGAGGAGGAGATCACCCGCTCGGTGAGCAGCGGGGAGGAGACGGTCCCAGACGGCAGAGCTCGCTCACCCGCACCGCTGAGCACAGACAGGTAATTCAGGGCTGTGTCCCGGGATCTCTGTCCACGGGGTGTTTGTGTGGAGGACATTGGCACATAAAACAGCATTTCCTACAGAAGGGCCTGAGCAGATGGAGGCAGTGTAAGAGTAGGAATAGTAGTTCCAAGCCAAAAGTCTCTCAGTCGAGGTCTCACACTCGTGTTCATTTAACTTCCCCGTGGGCTGGGGCCTCTTCTGGCACCCTGTTAAGAAGTGGCAGGTGATGGGTGTGTGGCTCTGGGAGCTGGAGATCAGTGAGAGGTTCCCATAGTCTTAAATTCACAGAGCTGGGAGGCTGCAGCCAGGAGCTGAACATGGTGTCTCCCTCCAAGTTCTGCTGCAGGCAAGGAGATAAAATGGAAGTGTTTCCCTGCCCAAAAGAAACAATGTTTTGATCTGGATTTTTCTTAATTCATTGGGGAGATTCTGAAAGGAAAAATACTCAAATTCCGAACAATATTTGCTAAAAAGAAAGCAAGTCTTGGAAACAAGAACACACACAAGTGGAGGCTAAGCAGTGAAAGAAGGAAGTGTTGCACTGGTAGCATCTCCCTCTTTCTTTCTTTGGTGACAGTATAGTTCTGTTAGCAGAACATTTGCCTGCAGTGTGAGATGCCTGGTGATGATTTCCACACCCACTGAAGGTATGGATTTAAAACTGGTGTCTCGTGTCTTCTCATTAGTGAGATAAATCTGAATTTCTCAGTGAATAAATAATTTCTTAGAAATTATTATTTAGGCAGTTTAGTGTAAATGAACATCAGACATGTCCAGCTCCAGAGAGCTCAGAGGTCAGATTGATTTTATTTAGTGTAGTCCCTTGTCTGAGGATGGAGCTGAATCCTCCTCTGGAACTGCCTGTCTTCGTTGGTTGGAGGTGCTTGGACTGGACATCTGACTTTCCCCTTGCTGGAGTCCAGTCCTACACTGTGCCAGGGTTCAGGAGGGCTCCATGGCCAATCCAGTGAGGAATATCTGTGTCCATCCAGTACTGAATATTGATTTCTTTGTCCTTAAGCACTAGTCAAGACACTGAAATTCGGAGGAGAACTGTTGGTGAAAATCCGCGTCTCTCACCCCACAAAGAGGAGTCCAAGTCGGAGAACTCGGACGAGGAGGATGAGAACATGGTGACAACGTGGAAGCCATTTCTAGTGAACATCTGCATGTTCACTTTCCTCACAGCAGGAGCTTATCTCTGCTACAGGGTGTGTTTCCACTGATGGCTGTTCCAGCAGGATGGACCCGCGGGGAACACGCCCGGTCGGGGTTTGTGGGAGCTCCTGTGAGAGGGAGCAGTCCAGGCAGGGGAGCCTTGTCTCAGAGCAGGTAGATTTAGTGTGAAAGGCCAGAACTTTGGGTAGGGCTTAAAGAGAGAATTGATGCACTAGGGTTTTATCCAGCCCTGTGGTCCCAAGAACATAATATTCTAATCTCAGGGCCTTAAAATATTCAGGAGTAAGCAGAGAAAATGCCAAATAGTTGGTTTCCTTTTTTGGTTGTTTTTTTTTTTGTTTTGATTTTTTTTTTAAACTAAATAATAGAATTACAACACATTGTTGTTTTTAGCCTTTTTTAAAAAGCCAGTTCATTTTCTTTTGTTTCAGAAAAAGTAGGCACAAGTGAAACTTGCTTGTACTCTCCAAGTGTTGTAACCAAATACATGACTTACATTGACGAGTTCCCAAAAAAGAAAAAGAAACCCACATACCTGAAGAATGTAAACCTTTGGAAGGGGAGGGGTGTTTGTGGTTGGTTTTTTTCTTTTTTTTTTTTTTTTTTAAAAACTTGCTTCATCATTAAAGACTGAGTTGTGGGCAGTGCCTGTGGTATTGATATATTTAATCTTGGCATAACTGTTCTTAAAGAGCTGATTGTTTTACTTGTGTTGATAGAACCAGGCTTCTGCATTTGCTCAGGGTATCCCAACACGTCCAGCTCTTGGATTTTTTCCTTTTTTTTTTTCCTTTACTAAGTGTATCTCCTCATTGACTTTTGTTGCACTCTACTTGCACATACGGCTCTTTACATTGCACCATCCTTTCTAAAGCTGTTTTTAGTTTTATATTCTGGGTTAGGAGAGATTGAGGGGGAGAGAGAGAAACAGGAAGGGAAATTCAACCAAACCACGTCCACCAGCACTCTGCCATGGAAGGACCAGTTCTTAAACCTCATCATTTGGAATGTAAAATGCAGTTTCACTCTCCGTGTGCTCCGTCAGGACCAGCTGTTGCTTCCAGCCAGGGGAGAGGCCCTGGGGGTGCTGCAGGCACTGGGCAGGAGAGCATTTGGTAAATCCAGAGCAATCCAGGCTGTGGCAGCTTCCTTGAGACACAGACAGTTCACCAGGAGCCGGGTTGGTCTGTGAACATGTCGGTTTATGATGCAAGTGTTCGTGTGTTCTGCTTTGTGTAAAGCCAAGATTAAAGTCCTGGCTCTAGGTGGGGGTCCTGCAGCCAGGCTGGGCCCAGCACTGGCCCTGCTGTGGGCCTGGCCCAGGGCTCCAGGGTGTAAAGTGCTTGTAAATAAGGATTTGGGGGTGTGGGTAGGACTGGGACTGGAAGGCAGCATTGCACTAGGCAGCCAATGCTGTTCCTCTCGGTAGTACCAAATGATTAATAGTTTAAACAATAATAGCAAAGATTTCTTTGCTTGTGTCGTGGAGCAGAGGCCAGGAGCAAACTCACTGCTGAGAGCTGTCGAGACTGAACTGCCCCAGGACAGCTGGTCTGCAGCACTGTTACTGATCTGCTCTTTTCATTTCTCAAGTCTCTGTAGATTTAGAGCACTTAAGCACCCCCTCAGTGCAGGCCTCGCTGTGGAGGAGCCCAGGGGAGCTCTCTCCACTCAGTATTTATTTTTGCCAAGCTGGCTGTGGGTGTAGCTCTTCCTTCAGTGGGTGAGTAGGTGAAGGGGGTCAGGGGGGGTTGGAGTTATTTCTATTTTGTGTTTTGTTAAGCTTGCATCAAGGGCTTCTCAAGAGTACAATAATAAATCCTCAGGTAGTACTGGGAATCAATCCTTTTACCTGTGAGACTGTTGGTCAGACCAGTACTTGAAAGGAGGAATGTTGTAATCAGTCAATATTTAGTTATATTATTGGAAACAGGAAAAATGAGTATAGAAAAATGGTAATATATAATGGCTCATCTGTGTATTTAAGATACATTATGTGATTGCTTTGTCCCCACTGTTCTCTCCAGCACGGGCAGGTCCTGCCCTGAGGCCCCATTTGTACCCCTTTGTATTAAACTGCATGTGAAGTCTGCGGTGTCCCGATGAAACACCACGTGCTTGAAAGGTGAAAGAACTTATATTTCTGCTTCCTGATGTGCCCAAATGATATTTGCATGACCTGATCCTTAGTGGCTGTGGTTCAGAGGGTGTTGCTGAAAGTCTCCTCGTTCAGCGATGGCCTGTTGGGTGTTTATCAGATAATATGTACTCGCCTAATCCTTGGCATGACTTCCCGTGGGATCCCGTGTGCCCGGTGGTAGCATGTTCCTTTCAGCTGAGTGAGTGTAGTACAGACATTCCAGAGTTTAGTCAGCCCTATCCACACCTCCCCTGGCCTGGGGGCAGCAGGGGCACCTTTAGAAAGACAGGAACCAAACCCCCCCCCTCTGCACATGTTCCCAAGAGAGAATATTTTAAGTTTTTGGTATGGCAGGAAAACAAAGCCTCCTTCCTTTGATTCCAGATTAATTCAATTGCAAATGATTCTACCAAGAGAGAGTTCCTGCAGGTCATAGAGAAGCTCTGAGCATCCCCCTTTCCACCTGTTCCTTCCCTCTGTTCCAGGTCCAGCTCTTCCCCTGTCCCAGGACACAAAGTGACTGCTCCCCAGGCCCCTGAGGTGTGGATAAGGCTTGGAATACTGAACTGTTCCCATTTTGTTTTGCTGTCCTGTACTGTCTGTGGTAGTTGGGGGGTGTAAATACCGTGGGGGTGTTGGGTAACCTGTTCTTGGAAATGGACAAACATCCATGTTAGACTCGGTAGGACGTTAGTGAGCTGCTCTGCTATCTGCCTTAAGCAAATATTTACTCATCAGGTCTTTCTTTTTTTACAGATTGCCATAGAATAAACTTTTATAAAAAAAAACTTTAAAAACTCAACAAAAAAGCTGAATGTTTTGGTATAATACAGTTTCAGGTATCTTGTCTTTTGTGTAAGCCGCTGCTGGGCCTCCCAGGTTAGAGTACAACTGTACAGTTTTTCAATCTCCCATACAAGTTTTCAGTTCTCATTTTAGTTGTAACAATAAAATTCTTTTTTTAAAGAACTTCAATGGGTCTCTTATTGCTTTGGGGCTGGAGCCACAGGCTCCTGGTTGACCCACATGCACAGGGGGGCAGGAGGGGAACGTTGGGGGGTTGTAAAGTGATTTAAATGTTATTGTAAGAACTTCCTGTAGGCAGAGTAAAAGAGATGAGGTGCCTGCATCTCTCCCTGACCCCTCCAGCTCCCTGCTCTAGTCTTGCACATGAATCAGGTCAATTTGAACCCCAGGGATCCCAGCCTGACCTGTCCCAGGCAGGACAGGGATCAAGCCCAGTGCCCTGTACCTGTCCCCAGGCCTGCCAGCACAGCACCACAAAACACTCACAGGAATTTGTCTCAATGGTTTATTAGAACTTCAGAAAACAGTATGAAATCCAACAAATAAATACTGAATAGAAACGTTTTATACACATATATATATATATATAAAAATATGTACACACAAGCCCAACCCTTTCAAGTATTGTACCTGAGGCCAGGCTTCTCTCCACGGCCACCCTGCCCTGCCAGCCAGGGGCTGAGGAAGGGCCTGACACCAGGTGGATGATTATGAGAAGTCTTGATCTATGACTAAACTCAAAATTTAAAACCAACCCAAACCTGTCCCCTCCCTCAGTCAGACCTGCACCTGGCAAACCCAACACAGACCCTCCTGCTGAGCACACACACTCCTCCCACACGCTGTCTGTCCCTGCTGGAACGTGGCCTAAGCTGCAACCAGGCTGAAGACTTTGGAAGTAACAAGTTTTCCTTCTGCAACTAAATTATCCAGGCAAAAGAACCCACTGAGCAACGCTGCTGGATCTGTTGGTGTAAAAGGCTGTTGTCTGCTGCCTTCCAGAGGGACTGTTGGAGAGTGATCATTTCTCCCTTGGGAAATGCCAAATTGATAAAATAAATCATATTGGAAAATAAATCATATTGGATTTACAGTTTGAGCAGGGGCAGCAAATTCCAGCAAGATGGAGATTTTAACTCCAGTGACAACCTGGTGCCACATTCCAAGAGATCCCAGCTTTCATTCATCCAGGCACTTGGTATTTGATCACCTGCTGAGAGATGGTGAGAAAATGTGTTCCAGCCCGAATTGTGGAGACTGCAAACTCTGCCCTTTGGAAATGAGGCTGTCCTGGGGCAGGATGCAGCACGGACAGAGCAGGGACAACCAAAGCCATCCCTCAGGTCCCATGTGGCTGTGAGGACAGTGGGATGCAGCTCCTCCCGTTGCACCCCTAAAACACTGTGATTTCAATCTCGGCCTCGTGCTGGGCAGTTTCCCTCAGCTCACAGCAGATCCTGTCCATTTTCTCGAAGGCTTGGCGGCCCTTTTCCCCTGTGGAGAAAGGAAACAGCCTGTGCTGAGGGAGAGACACAAATGTCTGAGAAATGGGATCCTCTGGAAACACTTCCATTGTGACCTTGTTTGGAACTAACAAGGACTCCCAAGAGTGGCAAACACGTCCCTAAGGGAACAGTTTTCCAAAACCTCCTGGAAGCCACCATGGAAAATCAGGCCTCCTGGCAATGCTTCCATGTGAGTAACAGTTTGGAGCATCACAGCTGGAAAACTTGCCATGCACGTGAGCCTGAGTGTTTCTGGGAAGCAAGTCTGGAGATCCCCAGGACTAAACATGGATCAAAGGGGGTTTTGGAAGAATAGAATAGGGAAACAGTTCTCCAGCATCACTTCCAGCATCTTTGGTTCTTATCTGCCACCTTTTCAAAAGGTTCAGTGGTTCCTAAAGCACTTTATCCTGGAGAATTTCCTTGGTCTGGTTCTATAAACCTCAACAGGAGGGCCCTTGGTTGGTACCTGTGATATAGTTTGTCTCCATGGTATGAAACAGCTGTTCATGAGGGATTACCACTGTCTTGGATGTGTTCAGGCTGCACCTGAGGCCTCTCCTGGTCCTGCACTATTTCACATCACTTTTTCAGACTGTTTGAAAGCCTTACCAAAGGACAGCGTGGTTTCCCTGGCTGCATTCCTGACTTCCTCTGTCTCAGACTGGCACAGGTGGGCAACCTGCTCAATGCTCTCCACAGCCTGTGGGAGAAAGGAAACATTGGCCTCAGCAGCTCCTCAGTAGTTTGGTGGATGTTTTTCACAAGGCAAACACAGACACACAAACTCCCATCTCTTCTTGAACCTGAATTCTACCAGGACCTTTCTCTTCTCCCCCAGCACATCATCTTGCAGTTACATTTCCTGACATATTCTCACCTCTGTCACCTCCTTCTCTCCTGTCTTAGGGCCTTAGAAAGTGTAAAAGTCCCAGGGTACAGGTCCCTGCTGCAGGACCATTAAATCAGCATCACCCACCAGGACGTCCCTGAAAGGGTTAATCCCAGTTGTTGCTTTGCAAATTGAATTTAAGAATAAGACTCTGATTTCTTGTTGTGTGACTGGATATCACAGGAGTTCAAACACATCCCCTGTGTCCTTGTGCTGTGCCTGGCACATCAAACAAGATGCCCACAGCTCCCTCTCCTGCTGCCTT